TTAACGATTCTTTGAAATTTGATATGTTAGCGAAAAATAGGTATAAGTATAGTATAGTGCAGTACTAGTATAGTACAGTATAGTATAGTATATCACATAGTATAGTATAGTATATCACATTATACAATATGTACACTATACTCTAGCATAGTACAATATATCCTAGTACGAAATACACTATAATGTAGTACAAAATACCCTATTCTGTAGTATAGTATAGTCTAGTGCAAAATGAAATGTCCGCAAAAATATTTTCCTTTTTTTTAATATGGACGGAGTAGGCTTTCAAATTCAACTATATCTCAATTGTAATTATTTAACAGAGCTCTGTTAAGTCGGGAACAGAGTTTTATTACCAGAAATGGTAGGTATCTTTGATAGTTAAATTCGAATTTATCTTTACACCCTCATCGCTTGTTTAGCAGCAGGATTTTTCAAATTAAGCCGGAAAATGGAAAGCATTTGATATGCGGCTCGTTAAAATAAACACAATTTCAAACAGAACGCGATTACATTGTTATGCACTGAGGTCAGGCCAAAAATCGACTTTTGAGCAGAATAAAAAATTAGGTCGCGCATAAGCACTTTTACATAAAGTTGTGAAAAAAGAAAACAAACCCTATTGAGATTAATTTGATTCCACATTGATTGACCTGTGTTATGCTCTGTTCTCTGCCGGTTAGGATTTTAGCGATATTTCGTGTCTATGTTGAGCCGAAGATTGGCGATCGAATAAATGCGTATTATTTAATGATTTCGGGCAGATGCGTTTGTGTATCAATAAGACTTGTTTTTGTTGAATTAAAACTTCATATTGGTTAGGACCGATGCTTTCTATTTAATGAAAAAAAAGAAGAAGAAAAACGTTCATATACAATTTGTAAAATTCAATATTCATTGCTGCAGCTGCAGTGACAGAGAGGTAGTAACAGCTTTAGACCCAGTTTGACATGCTCTGAATAGTTTGCAATGAAAAAATGATTCGTTGTCGTCGACGCAACCGCCGTCGTCGATGGTGATTTCCGAGCATGTGCTTGTTTTTTTTTTCTTTGTTTCAGATTAAGTTTTTTCTTGGCATCTACAGATTTGCATGAGAACAAACTTACAAACCCACAAAAGCGTTGTGCAATTGTTCATACATATCTTTGTGTGTGTGTGTGTGTGTCTTTGTATGTGTGCATGTATACATGCATTTTTTTTATGCTAAGGAAACAGGAAGGCAAACTAAACTAGAAAACAGAAATTGCAGCAAACAAGTTTCAACATATGCAGAATATTTCAAGTCAACAAATTAAATAAATGTAATATATACCGGTACGTAGAGGCATCCTAAAACCTAAGTGTATTTCTATATATGTATATATATATATATATACATAACTCTCTATTGTGGATTTATTTATATACATACATATCCACATATTTAAAAGTTAAGTTGCAATATATAACAGAAGCGAAAATTCACCCAAGACACCCAAGACAATTTTATTGATATCGTAGTATCTCGTGGTAAATTAAAAGACCGCATTTATTTTGCGGTAGAAGCCATCGTTTGGTTCAGTAAGTCAGGAAGTGGTTGTTGCTTATAGCTTCGCATCATGATAATGATGATGATGGCGCTGATGTTGTACAGTTGATACACTCATAATCGTCTGTAAATGCAGTTACAAAGTGAAGAAAATTTTAATTTGTCTCGAGCAAAGTTTCACACGTCCACTACAATCTCATAAAATGGTACGTATGCAGTGTAAGCATATAACAAGCATATAACTATTAAATCCACTCTCATAAGTCATACGTTTTAATCAGAGTAAACTTAAATATGAGTACGGAATACGAGTTAACAGCCGGAGTAGTTGTGCGAGATTGTGTTTCCTTGACTGTATAATTACATGACTTATTTGTCAGTCAGTGTAGAAGGCCATCGCTTGCCAATCATCCACGTCTACATAGTATGTTTTCTCATAGCATTAAAAAAAAAGAAAAAAAAATACAACAACAACAACAACAACAGCAGCAGCAACAATAACAATAGCAAATACGAAGCAAATCACAAAATTTGGTGAAAAAAGAAATGTTGTTCGATACGAAAACGAAGAAAGAAAAAAACGGTAAACTTCAACATCCGTGTGTGACCGAAATTTTTGTATACACTACCTATGCAGGTGCAAGTAAGGGCCGAATTATCGACAGAATACCGCCTGAACCGTGAACTCTGTCGATTCGGTTCGTTTTCAATATCAACCTGCTTGCATGTACATTCAAAGTTTTTGTTAAATTTTTATACCGATATCTAAATTTTTGCGACCCACAGTATGTTCATATTATACGCTTCCTCACGCATATAGACAGATGGACGGACAGACAGGCATAGAATGATTCAAGATTTGATACTCATCAAAAACATATACTGTGAAGGATCGTTCCGGCTAATGCAAAAGTTTCGACAAAATGAATATACCCCTAGTCTTAGATGGTGAGCATGATAAAAGCGGCATACTTTTGCCGGTAAACTCACGTACATTGAATTGTAAACAATCAAATGAAATAATTACCACAATATAGTGTCTCGATGAACATGTTATTCGTTCGCGTAAATTCGATCATGGTATCTTCAAGTTGGCTGGTTGGCTGGTTGGCTGGTTGGCTGGTTGGCAGCAATAAAGAAATATGGTTCAGCTAGAAATAATAATAAGATGCGTGAAAATTGTTACCAATTGTTGCAAGCCAATAACGACATATGTTGGTCAATATCAAGGTAGCGGTGAATCGACAAGATCTGCGAGTAGAAGTTGCCTGGATTCATAATTCGATTTGCTAAAGTAACGACATAAGTAAATCCCACGTAAAGAGTACGATACCTGAACACTATTAAAATAGAGTGCAATTTAAGTCTCTCCTTCATTTCAAAAATTAAGATAGTAACGATTTCTTTTTTCCGTTATATGCTATTCAGCGGATTATAACTCATACAGATTTCTTCTATTGGGGAGGCGAACACATCAACCGACAGAATTGGTAAAAAAGCAAGGAGAGGCAAATATAAAAGAAAACTGTATTCGCTCCAGAGCACTTCGTTAATGCCCGTTACCTTACACGAATATAAAAAACTTGCAAATATTTCATTCACTCGATTCAAATAACTTGGGCTTGAACTCTAGATATCCCGGCGAAATATTTGTACCATGTGCTAAATGAACACCCGCTATAGTGCCATGCTATTGCAGGTCTTGGACTGACGTGAGCGTAACTGTGAACACATGAATAGCTGAAAGAAAAAATACTGTTTAATCAGCTAAGATCTTTACGTTACTCAAGAATATATATTCGAACTTCTAGATGTTAAGAACGGACGGATATATCTAGAATATTCTTATGCCTTGGTAGAGTGTATAAGGGGGCACTATTTGCCTTGTTCTGCATCTTTAATATTCATCACCTCAGAGCAAATTTGATTCCTTTTGATTACTAGAGCCGTGTCTGGTTGAACCATATATCTGAACTTCAATTCTTAGTAGGACAGTGGGACCGAATTTCACCTTTTTTATCCCCCAGTGGGCTGAAGCACGGCCATTTTTAAACATGTATCAAATTTCTTTTATCTGCACTGATTATTACGATGCTGAGAACACCACTAACAAGCAGACGCATACGCGGAAATTTTCGGATATTTCCGTTCAAAACCCTTTAGCTTATGTGAGGAGTCTACATGCCTTACAAATGAAATGACCAAGTTTATCGCGTACATTTTTCTTTCCATGGTGGTTATAATGCATAGACTAAGAAGCAAGTAACGACCATCCGAACTAGTTTACCCGCTGTGATCTTAATAAAACAGCATGAAAGAGTAAATTTTAACATTAAATATTGAATGGAACGTGACCTCAGCGGCAAAACTGGAAATAGACGGGAAAACTTAAAACATGTTAATTGCTTTGTTCACGCACGATAATTCCAGGTGATATGGGAAACGTTTAGTTAAATGTTAGTTGATAATGCATGACTCAGGGCTGTTATACAGACTAAGATTTTGTTTACGATAAGAAGATTTCGTTTGTTTTCATACTCTGTACACTGTCCATTATTGTTATTACAATCAAACGACACTCAACCAAATAATATGAGATTACTTAAAAATAATCCGCTTGTAATATAATTGAATATCAGCTATTACGATTAAATTTGGTAATTATGACTAGCGCTAAGCAGTCGTTCTCAAACGGTGAACGCAGACCGGTAAGGCAATGAATGGCACGAAGTGTTTATTTTTTAAATTTATTTATTTTAGTTTTTGCTGCAAATAAATTAAAATTAATTTATTTGCAATTGTTACTAGTCGAGGTACTCCACATTTTTTTGAATTCATATATAAAATTACATTACAAATTGTTCGGTCTGTACTTTTTTTTGACATGTGGAGCAAAGCGGAAAATAGATGCAGTTAATAACGAGAGCAAGTAAGAAAATTATATGCTAATCTTTTATACCCACCACCTTTCTCTTAAAAATAAACAAAAAAATTAAAAAATTAAAAATATAATTAGGTACAGTAGAAATGAAACTTCGATACTCTATCCTTTTGGGTGGATTGTGCAATCTCTCATAGATATTACTGTACGGATGCTCTCGACTCATCTTCAATACCAACTCGCCTACAATGACTTCCAATAGTCTTCACAAATTTGTAGACGATATCTTAATTTTTGCAATTAGGAACAAACAGATGGAAAAATAGACAAGCCTAGATCGATTCATCAATTTATATTGAGAGAAAATGTATATTTACTTTATAGGGTTCTTCTACGAACATATAAATACTTGAAGCTATATATGAACTACACAAGCTTGGACGTTTGATTGGCTGAGACTAAAAAAACCCCTACACGCATGTCGAAGTTGAAATGTGCAAATCTGTAAGCTCGTACCACCTGCGCCAGCCTCTTCTTTAAACTCCAAAAGTGTATTTATTTTCAAGCAATGTTCGTTTCACACAAACTTACCTTTGATTGTCACCTAGGATAGCATTGCATCCATTTGACATCCGCTAAGACTATGAAGGCCTTTATCTCGATAGATATGAAAAGCTTTTTACTTAAAACAAAAGCACTGTACCCCAATTTTTAAAGCAATTACAGAAGGCTGGAAAGAGAACAGATAACTAATATTCAGGTCAGGTCTGACTGAGATAATTCGGTTTCAAAAAATAGGAAAAAAAATTTCTATCGCATCATAACCTCTTGAAAAGATACTGGAATGACTACGAAGTAATTTTAGCAAGTTAATTAAACAACAACACCCATATCAACTCTAAATTAGATAGTAAACAGTCGGCCAAGGTAAAAAAAATTGAATACAAGAGGCGAGAGTAATATGACGAACCAATTATTTATACCTGGTGTGATAACATCAAAAAGGTTTCACTTCTATAAGTCACATCAAATAATAGTAAGACAAGAGACTCACGTAAACACGTTTAACTATTTAAAACTTGATTACTTATAACCAAATGGAATGACTTTTGGTAAACGCTTAGCCTGCAATTGATTTTTTTAATAGTGATAAAAAAAAGTGTATGTTTTTTTTTTTCAAACGACTTGAATTCAAGTACGCACAGGTGGTATCTTGGTATTGGAGAACGTGTATACATACATATATGCTGTTGTGTATCGTTTTTATTATAAACATGTATGCATGTATTTGTAACATCTATATTACATATAGCACAACAATTATGGACGCGACAGGTTACAGGTTTCACGCACTTTTCATTTCTACTATATGTACTTTCATCGAGGGGCCGAATTGTCATCAACAAAATGATTGTTGTGATATATGTTGTTTTGTGTTAGTGTATTATGATGCATGTACTTGTAAAGTCGTTGATGTTGGATGTTCATGTTGATGTTGATGTTCATATTGATGTTGATGTTGATGTTGATGTTACTGTTACTGTTGTTGCTATTGGTCTTGTGTGCGATAACTATTTCGCCACCATCAAGTAGAGATCGCGGCCATCAAATATATACATACACATACGATTAAATATGTATCTATGTATTTACTTAAACATATTACACACATGTGTATACATGTGTAAGTAGAAAGTCTGTAACCTATAGAAAGCCAAAATATGCAAACAGTAGCTGTATAGCTGACAACTTTAGGTTTTTGTGTGTGCACGCGTTTTGATGCTGAAAGGTCGGTAGGTGAGTTTAATCGTTGTTATATACAATAGACGTTTAAGTCAATACAATTTTTCCCCTTATAAAAAAAAACGTATTATATACTCTCACTTATTTATATGAATGCATGTAAAACTATTTATGTATGCATGTAAATATCTTATATAACGCGTATTTATTAACTTTGAAATGTTAGCTGGCGTTGTAAGACTTATTTTGGTCGCATGACCGTCTTTGATCATATGACGATGCCATTAAGTGCAAAATTGTTGCTTATATATGTACTCTCATGGCAAAAAAGACTTACTATTTAATTTCTAAATGGTAACTTGTCTTAATCATTAAAAAATTTTAAATACCTGATTCGCAAGTTCGCCGTCTTCAAGCTATTTGTTCGATATCTAGTTATGTACTGTACATGCGTACAATATATACGTAGATATAAGCAAACTTGTCTATCGAACGCTCTTCTAATATGAGTCATATATATATCATTGACGCATAGTTAATAAATTTACGCTAATTTATAAAGATTACATCAACGTTAGCTAGTAGCTCACTTACCTTACTTTCAATCTTGAACGTCACCCGCTTAATTGTTTGCTGTTGTTGCTTTTATATATAGTTTGGGAAAGATCTCATCACCTTGTAATTATTATTTTTCTCTACCGATTTCGCGGTAGTATACAAGTTTAAGCCAAGAAATCACTTTTTCCTATCAATCCATACACTAAACCGCAAATTCTCAAATAGCTCTCATAGCTCACATATCATATCATTTCAAGTTGCTTTAATTTAACTTTAGTTATTATGCATTTTAATTCAAAATATTGTGAATAAAGCTTATATATATATATATATGAATATATATATATTTATGTATATAAATATAATATATAGTATATATATATATATACGCATGTGTTGTAAGTTAAAAAGCAAGCACACTTAAACGCATTTAGCCATATTTTTATCATTTATTTAACATTCGGTTAAGGCGAAATGACACATAAAACTGGAATATTTATCGTATATCTTTGAATGGATGTGTGCTAATCATTATGCGTTCGTTTATTTGTCTGCTTATTTTGCGTATAATTTTGCAACCAGTAGGACGTTCGCCTAATTGTTTAGTTTTTTTTTTCTATCTCTTAAATTGTTTTTTGCCATTCTCATCACAAAAAAAGGAAAATGCATTTATAAATATGTATACATATATATATATATATATATACGTACTCATATATATATATATATATATATATAAATATATGTATATGCATTACTTGTACACCCGTGCGTATCTGCTTTTCTGTGTGTGTATAACACTTTATGTACACTGTCCAAAGTCGGCGGTAATAATCTCATCTTTCTTCTTTTTATTGTCAAATCACTTACCGCAACAACGCGAAATTTATGAAAAAATGTTGATATCCTTACTTATTTTTATGTTATAGAAAATTGTTGGTTTTATTTGTTTATCATCAAGACGACGGGAATAAGGAGAAAAAAAAGAATGAAGGAAAAATAAAACACACTCAAAAACATTCGCAGCCATTTAAATCACAAGCATTATAACTTATTTGCGTACAATCGACTAACAAGTCACAGTATTGGTGGCAAAAATAATAATAATAATAATAATAATAATAATAATGAAAACTACGGTGCCGTCTCCCTTTCGTGAAACGTCGAATGTTCTGGTTGTTGGGTATATCTTTTTATGAAATTAATATACTCTTCGGATGGTGTAGGGTACAAAAAACAAACCTACTTGAATAGCATAATTCTGAATGTCCATCTATCATTATATGGACAACTCACAATTTTCAATGTTAACAATATTATATATATTTTAATAATTAATCCTATGGAAAAGTATTTGTTATATGTTAATACAATTTTTCTCAATATTATATTATTTCGCACAAACTCTCGCGGTAAGAAGTTCACACATCCTCTTCGTTCAAAATTCAAAAATATTTTAAGCACCGCTCCTTTCCGCTTTTAAATGTGGCCAAGACAACAACAAGAAGCAAACTGTTTTAACATTTAATCTGTTTTTCACAATTTGTTTTTTTCTTTTACAGAGATGGCAATATAATCTTCAGTTGTTGGTTTGTTGAATAGCAGAAGAAGAACAAGATATAAAACACATCTGTAATTGTACAACTGAAACACCTGATTCTTAAACATATGTTTAAGCAAATTTCTATTATTATTTTCCAAGTAAGCGCTGCATTAAAAAAACGATTGGACCATTTCAAAGTGAAAAACAATTTTTATTATTTATTTCGGAAAAGAGTGAAAATTAACAACTTGTATTCTTCTCTGTTTTGAAATTCTAAACATTGTTTTGTATTAAATTATATATTAATATTACATATTAACAGTTTTATTTAATTATTTATATATTAATATATATATTTTTTTTTTTGGTATGTTGAATGGAGATGGACTATATTAATATTTTTAATGGTTTTTATTTTTAGTATTAATATATTCATAATGGCCGGTAGAAGAGAGTGCAAACCACAGAACCTTTTAAAACCTCTGCAAATAAATTGCAGAATTGGTTAACCATATTAAATGTGTCAAATTAACAAAGAAAAAAGATTGTATTATATTTGCAATAAGCATTTTTTACAAGGATATGCAATATATACCGGTCCTAAAAGTGTATTGACCACAGATGCCGCCCCAACACTCCATCTAGATGCTTATAAAAGAATTGGCCCATTAAAAAAATAAGTGGAAAATATGGAACAGGACGACGACAATATCCCATCAACATCAAAACGATTAAGCAGAACATTGGATTATAATAACATTCTATGAAAACATCGGCTATTGAAATGGTGTGCCAAGTATTTAACGCTCCTATACCAATATGCGGGATTGTATTTTTGAGTCGGCTAGCGTTTTGAGTTGTACCTGGAAATTCAATTGCGGTATACCATGACGCAGCCATCATACATCTCACCTTTCATAAAAATAAGAACATTTTTTATAATATTGCTTATCTTTTATTTAAAATATAAAATAAAGACAAAGCTCTTGACCTTACATTCTTAATTTCAGGGATACGTGTTTCAAATATAATTCAATTTATAATTCATTTCAATTGAATTTATATAATAGGAGATTGAAAAATTAATCGTTTTATTGTATTACTTCTTATATTAGAAAATAGTTTTTTATATAAATTTTTTTTTTCGTTCAAATTATATAAGAGAAACGTGATGAAGGATAGGTAATATTAAAAAAATTAAAAAGAATAGTGGGATTATTATTTATAAGAGTTTTAGGGAATAAAGTTACTTGAATAACTTTTCCTCGTCCTATAACAGTATTAAAATTATGAAGTTGTATTTGTATTACTTAATGCAATTTTTTATTCGTACATGCTTTATTATTAAAAATTATGCAAAATTCGCATATAAAAATAAAATTTTATTTGCAAAAAAGCGTAATAAAACATATGTATGAAAAGAAAAATTTTAAATTTAAAAAATAATTAGTTTGAAATTTTTTCAATTTACTTATAACTCAAATATCACATATATAAGCAAATTTGATGAAATGAATGAATTCATGTATTTTAAACATCGTTGTGAACCTTCAATCTTTCAACCAAATCTGCTACGTAAATTACGTGATTTCTTCACAGAATAAAAATAATTTTATTTTAAATTCATTTAATATAATTTAAAAAAGCATATTTTCTATTTAAAGATTTTCAGGAGCATTAACAGTAAATAAATATAAAAATTATGATAATATAATATGATAAAATAATATAAACAAATAAACATGTGCACAAATGCAAGAATACGGTACCAGATTTACACAACCACAAACAAAATTAAGAGACAAAGAAACTCAGAGTAAAATTTACTTTGCTGTACATATCTTATGCATGCCCTAAAAAATGCTGAGAATAGGAAATTCAGTTTTTGAGTGTAAAATTTATTTTGCTGTACATTTCTTATGGATGCGCAAATAAATTGTTTGAGAGTGAAGTTCTATTTCTAATTCTAAATTCAAAAAAAAAATTTTAAAAAAACTAAAAAAGCATAGAAAATGGTTATAATGAAAGAAATCTTCTCTTAGAGTAAAAAAGATTTTACAAAAGCAATGCATGAAAAAAATGATGCCAAGAAAAAAATCTCCTCTCAGAGCGAAACAAATTTTGACAATAACAACGCCACAACAATGGTTGAATAAATGATGCCAAGTAAGAAAAATCCATCTAAATCACAATTCCAGTTGGAGTAAGCTGCTTTTATGCTGTCTTGTTTGCTCCCTTTTCTCCCTCTTTTGGTTACTGTTTCATTACTCTCACTCTTCAAGAAGAAATAAGATATACGCTCTCAAATAACCAACCCAACTAACATCATCAATCACTTTCGCTTAATTCATCAAGTCAGAATGAACTCGGTTATCAATTTCGTTCACTAGCTTCTCCATTTTTCAATTCAGAATTTGTTACAATGAGAATCATATTGATCAAATTGGATCCACATCAATGACGAAAATCTCATAAATTCCAAAACAATGGAGTAATCTTTAGTGTTCATAAGAGGAGCCCTATTTCGAGATTACAAATAAACTAATCAAGTGATTTAAATTCCGAGGCTGTAAGTCTGTCAATCGACTAGCATCTGTTTTATATCTATGTAAATATATACATACACATAAATATCACATCTTTGCGAGAAGTTTTCTTGCGATCTCGTACTTCTCGTACACATTTTATTTAAATCCGTATCACCTGTATTCAAATCATTTTATACAATTTGACAAGACCTTGTGAATTGTTATCCAAAAATGTACAAAATAAAGAAGGCATACACGCGTATATGGACACAAAGTATGACTTTTATATTTACAAAAAGTATGCCTTTTAAAAATCGCGGAATCGAACTTTCTTCTAAAAATTTTCATTGATTTTCTAATTTGATATGAGAATTTTAATGAGGAAACACTTTAAATCATCGTTTGAGATGCAATTGCAGTTTTAGTTTACATTTTCAGCGAACTGTTTTATGTATCGTGTCACCTTTTTAACTCAATTTTCTCATAGAGATAAAAATAAACTCGAGAACATCTTTGATCTTCTAAGCAAAATTATACCCTTGTAATCGTTTTCACAAGCCATACGTAGACAGAAGGCCATCAATGTGTTTTTTATCATAAAATAAATCTAACCTGCCGTTCTACTAGCTATTGATTTGCGCTTTCAATAATTGTCAAGAGATTTTAATTCAACTGCTATAAACATACATATATAATAATCAGAATTTCTAGTAGAAAGCAACTATTTTCGGTAAGAACTTTATTTTGACTTTTATATTAACAGCTGTACCGTAAAAGCACATATACAAGTCGATAGATTTTATATATTTCAGGTGTGAGTGGGACGGTGTGCTGGGTTATGAAAAAATCTTTTGGAACTCATCACCTGTATATATATAAAATTTATGTATATGAGTACCCACATGTACATATATGTATATATAAACATCTATATGCAGAGCCTTCTTTTATTGATTTAGGAATTGTCGATCAATATACTATACAAAGGTAAGTACCCGGGTTTGAGAATCCTTGCAAGATCTTTTCCGCCTTGTCGCGTAATGTTCACTCTTACTTTTTACTTTGTTGCGAAAACTGCTTGCAACCTATATGGTTTCATCCATACTTTGCGATCTTCTTTAGTTATAAATTTCTTGTAAAGTTGGGCTAGAAGAATCGAGGATAAAATAGTAGAGTTAAGGGTGATTCATAAAATAATGTCATCATATGAATCTTTTGTCTTGCTGTGTTATGTCGCTATAGTGTAGGGGCGGCGAAAAGCAATAGAACATTGAGGGAAATTAAGGTAAGAAGAGTGCAAACCCTTTAAGATATATGTTTATTAAATGATGAAGAATTCTGATAAGGACGTGGCATGAAGAGATGCATGGCTTCATTTTTTATAATCTCAAACTGAATTCAGGACACATAAAATGCAAGAAACTTTTTCAACTTTTTCTTAGCTTTTCCTCAGCTATGCGCTGGCGAGAAACGAAAACAAAGCCATAAACAAATCGTATGGCGTTAACAAGATGCACAAGTTTTTAATTGCAAGTGTATATATATATATAAGTGTATATATATAAACTGCTGCGTAAGCACTCTTAGCCCGTCTGTGTGCTTTGCATTGTTATTATATTATTATTATTATTGTTATTGTTGTTCGTTACCGGTGACAAAGCAAAGTCTAAATATTTAATATGTGCTGGGTAAACAATTTTTTGTATTGATTTTATTGGAACAAGGTTGTAAATCTTAATATTATACTTAGCGTATTACTTTTTTTCTCTTTTAAAGATTAAATTTTTTTTTATTCATGTCGCTTCGAGTTGACTTTTAATGGAATTATTGTAATTAGCTGAAACTCAATTATTATTTTTTTTTTTCTACTCTTGTGCATTGAATGATTTTCACTTTCAGTGAAGGCAGCGGGAATGGAGATTGGTTTAACTGGATTTCTTTTGCATTCAAAAAAGTAGAATTTAAAGGGCGGAAAAGAGGGCGTGCGCGCAACCATTCTCATATTATACTTTCTAAAGATAGAAACTTCTAAAACGTGTGTGTGTATTAAAACTTTTGTAATTATAACCAAAATGCCCTCATCTTCATTGTCAATGGTAAATAACCACGTTCTGCTTATATTTTAGCGATCAGAGGGTGCTGTGATTGACACTCTGAACGGAACACTTCTTATAGATAGAACATTTAATTATATATGCATGTAGTTGATGACGTCACCCTTTCAATAACAAATGATATGACAAAACTGGTCTATCCCTCACATGTTATATATATATATATATATATATATATATATATATATCTCAGAAAAATGGCTTGGATTTCTTTCGTAATGAAATCACTGTTTCTGAACGCATACATTTAAATGCTGAACAGAAATTATATGCTCTTGTCTCTCTCTCCCCATATATATATA